ACATCGGTCAATACTGAAGCCACTTTTTCAAAACTCTTCACACAGTCTGCATTACCAACATACATCTTGGCCAAACAGTTAATCTCACCTCCAAAACTCACTCAAACCACCAAAACATTTCATACATGTCTCAAAATAAGCTTGTTCGACCATAACACTGGCAACAATTCTCACTCAGAAAGCATACATTGTCACTCGTAACACACTTACCTAAAAAACACTAACAACAGGGAGCATTACATAAATGATTAACTTTTCTCTTTGAAGTTTGAATGATTTTTCACATAAATCAGTATTTCATTATAGAATAAGAATAACACCTTTTCACTTTATTGACTGTACTAAAGTACAGTGAGGGAAAAAAGTATTTGATCCCCTGCTGATTTTGTACGTTTGCCCACTGACAAAGAAATGATCAGTCTATAATTTTAATGGTAGGTTTATTTGAACAGTGAGAGACAAAAAAAATCCAGAAAAACGCATGTCAAAAATGTTATAAATTGATTTGCATTTTAATGAGGGAAATAAGTATTTGACCCCCCCTCAATCAGAAAGATTTCTGGCTCCCAGGTGTCTTTTATACAGGTAACGAGTTGAGATTAGGAGCACACTCTTAAAGGGAGTGCTCCTAATCTCAGCTTGTTACCTGTATAAAAGACACCTGTCCACAGAAGCAATCAATCAATCAGATTCCAAACTCTCCACCATGGCCAAGACCAAAGAGCTCTCCAAGGATGTCAGGGACAAGATTGTAGACCTACACAAGGCTGGAATGGGCTACAAGACCATCGCCAAGCAGCTTGGTGAGAAGGTGACAACAGTTGGTGCGATTATTCGCAAATGGAAGAAACACAAAATAACTGTCAATCTCCCTTGGCCTGGGGCTCCATGCAAGATCTCACCTTGTGGAGTTGCAATGATCATGAGAACGGTGAGGAATCAGCCCAGAACTACACGGGAGGATCTTGTCAATGATCTCAAGGCAGCTGGGACCATAGTCACCAAGAAAACAATTGGTAACACACTACGCCGTGAAGGACTGAAATCCTGCAGCGCCCGCAAGGTCCCCCTGCTCAAGAAAGCACATATACAGAACATCTGAATGATTCAGAGGAGAACTGGGTGAAAAGTGTTGTGGTCAGATGAGACCAAAATCGAGCTCTTTGGCATCAACTCAACTCGGCGTGTTTGGAGGAGGAGGAATTCTGCCTATGACCCCAAGAACACCATCCCCACCGTCAAACATGGAGGTGGAAACGTTATGCTTTGGGGGTGTTTTTCTGCTAAGGGGACAGGACAACTTCACTGCATCAAAGGGACGATGGACGGGGCCATGTACCGTCAAATCTTGGGTGAGAACCTCCTTCCCTCAGCCAGGGCATTGAAAATGGGTCGTGGATGGGTATTCCAGCATGACAATGACCCAAAACACACAGCCAAGGCAACAAAGGAGTGGCTTAAGAAGAAGTACATTAAGGTCCTGGAGTGGCCTAGCCAGTCTCCAGACCTTAATCCCATAGAAAATCTATGGAGGGAGCTGAAGGTTCGAGTTGCCAAACGTCAGGCTCGAAACCTTAATGACTTGGAGAAGATCTGTAAAGAGGAGTGGGAAAAAATCCCTCCTGAGATGTGTGCAAACCTGGTGGCCAACTACAAGAAACGTCTGACCTCTGTGATTGCCAACAAGGGTTTTGCCACCAAGTACTAAGTCATGTTTTGCAGAGGGGTCAAATACTTATTTCCCTCATTAAAATGCAAATCAATATATAACATTTTTGACATGCGTTTTTCTGGATTTTTTTGTTGTTATTCTGTCTCTCACTGTTCAAATAAACCTACCATTAAAATGATAGACTGATCATGTCTTTGTCAGTGGGCAAACATACAAAATCAGCAGGGGATCAAATACTTTTTTCCCTCACTGTATATGTAACAAGAATGATTCAGAAATGCAGTAATTTGCTTCAATAGCCTTTTTTTCTATATCTTTGCATATAGTACTTTACTTGTGAAACATAAAAAGTTTAAACAAAAAACTAAATCCTGAAATTCCAGGGCTGCAATAATAATAATAAAAAAAACATCATCAACATGTATAGTATAATCACTCATACTGTACAGTACTGTGAGGGTTCTAGTTCTCCCTCTCTCCTGCATTTGGCCACAAGTTCTCATCAACATCTTATTTATTCTCTGGCGATGCATCTTGGAAAGTATCTTCTGGAATGTCTAATCCAACCCTGGCAGTCTTCAGGAGCAGTGTCTCCACACCCCGCGTTCATGGCATCTAGTAAGGACATCTGGTCATGTGGATGGTGGTCATAAACCTTCCACCTCCACGCAGAGAAAAACTCCTCTATGGGGTTTAGGAAGGGGGAGTATGGAGGCAGGAATAGTACTGACATCCTGGGATGTGCAGCAAACCAGTCTGTAACTGCAGCAGAGTGGTGGAATGCCACATTATCCCACACAACAACGAAGGTAGGCGAGTTTCTTGCCCCTCTTTCCTCCGCTGGCACAAGTCGATTATGCATATCATCCAGAAAATAAATGAGCCTCTCTGTATTGTAAGGGCCAATGAGTGGTTTGTGTAACAGCAAACCATCATTGGACAGTGCTGCACACATTGTGATGTTAGCTCCTCTCTGGCCTGGAACATCCACGGTTGTTCTCTGTCCAATCACATTTCTTCCCCAGCGGCGTGTTTTTGCCAGGTTGAATCCAGCTTCATCCACAAAGATGAATGTATGTGCGGTTTGCCTGGCTTCCATCTCCATTACTCTCTAAAATACAGTAAATCCACAGTTTTACAGTACTTTACGTTATGCATAGCTGTGTATGTACCATGTTTGGTTATTGAACAGATATCTTACCTAGACATATTGATACCGGAGTTCTTTCACACGTTCACCGTTTCTCTCAAAGGGTACAGTGTACAACTGCTTCATCCTTATTTTATGTTTCTCTAGGACTCTGGAAATTGTCGTTGTGCTGACCGTATTCACATTCCCAAAAGTGATATTGTCTGTCCCGAATTTCCCGCAGTTTTATTGCATTGTTGCCAATTACCATGACAACAATGGCAATTTCCTGCGCATCTGATAATATTCTGTCTCTCCCTCCTGTGGGAGGCAACCTTTGGATCCTACTGAAAAACACAAAACAATCAATATATTTCAAAATGTCAGTACATGTAAAAATGTGAACATACTGTATTGTACTGTAATATGTAGTTCAATTATAATTGAAGGATGCACATCTCACCTGTTGTTTTGCCGGAAAATTCGTACTATTGATGCAACTGTTGAACGCTGCAGATCTGGTTGCACCCTTAAACCGGCCTCTCTCAAAGAGAGACCATGGTTTACAACATGGTCAATAATTGTGGTCCTTATCTCATCAGAGACCACCGCTCTTGGTCTTCCTCTCCTTTGTCCTCCACACATTCTCCCTCTCCCTGCAACTCTTCTTTCTCCACCAACCTGTCTTCCTTGATCCATGTTTCCAAAATAAATAATTTCGAAGCTATCCTCTTTTGTCTGTTTGGTAATGAGACTAAAAACAGGACACTTGGATAGGCTTTCAGCTGAAATTGCAATCAGCTGTGTTTGGAATGATTAAATATTCTGCTGAGATTTTCTATACGTTTCAATCTGGTTACTGCAGAAATGCACGACATTTGCCATCATTTGGTTTTTAATGTGTTTTTAACAGTTTTGGAAACAGTGTGTTAGCATTTGAAAACATGTGCTGCAAATATATCGTTTTGCAGGTGGTGGAGTATGAATGAGAAAAGAGTTCATGGATTTCAGAGAATGTGGTCATTGAAGGAATTTTGTGTGAAAGCAATGAAAATGATTCACAGTTTGGTCCGCATACACTTCTGTTTCGCTGAAATTGTGAAGAGTTTTGACAATGTGACTTCAGTTTTGACCAATGCATGTTAGCAATTGAAAGAAACTGTAACTAGTGTGTTCCACCAGTGATGTTGGGGTGAGGAAGGTTCTGTGCAAACCAAGCCTGGAATATTGTCCATGTGAATGGTCATGTCCATGCCATGAGATTCCTCCTATTCCATCGTCTTGAAGAGTGTCTTAATATTACACACCTCACACCCATGTGCCAGTTAGTGTTTGTCACGTTTAGCTTGTGTCTGAATAGACAGCTTGGGCTTATGATAAATATGGTGGAACAAGGGACAAAAAAATAGGACAAAGGCCACAGAAAACCACAGTAGAAAACCACAGTAGAGGGCAGCATTTGCAAAGGAATTCAAATTCCAGCGGAAGTATTCACCTCTTGTTAAATGAAGGAAAAGAGCTTAGATCGATAAACTTTGATTCCTGGCTAATTTGAGCAATGCTGAGTATCATTTCTATAATAGTCACCACAATGTGACTGAAATTGGTTGACGGTTTAATCATCCATTAATTTAATTGAGTTATCTCCACCCCTTCTCTCCACATCTGGCCCAGTCCAGGGTATTTCAGGCAGTGAAACTGTTCAACTGCTAGACTGGTAGCTGTGGGAGTGAAACTGAAATTGACATAGACAGGGCTGGGTGGTTCTGCTTGTCCCAGAATAGAGCAGCACTGTCACCAGATGTTCACTCTGTCCCCAGAGGGTTGGAGGTAGAGAAGACTTGGTGAAATATAATTAAGTGTAGACTACACATTGTTGAAATCCATTACTAAAACTTATAATTTAATAAAATCATATTGGGAATTAAACATTGTATGGAAAGTAACTGCTTAGCAGTTTGTGTTCTGAGAGCAGATCTTAGAGGTTTAATATCAAATATCTGTAATTATCATCACTGGTATTGATGCTACAGTATAACAGGCAAGATGACATGCACAACTTAATCTCAAAATAGTTCATTTAGCACTCAGCACTACTGATATTATTCACTATTATACTTTAACATTCAGCTCTAAAACACTAATGTTTCCAGAACTAGCACCATGTGGGGACTCTCTAGCTCCCTACAATGGCTTCTAGACACTAAAGTGACTTCTCCGGAAGGCGGCTGAATCACTGGTGTCGTAGTGGGTGACCCTGCAGGTGTACACCTCTCCCACTACCCAGAGTGCCTTGCTCAGGGTCAAGGTGCTGCTGTGGCTGTAGAGGCCACCCTTCTCTTCTTCTGTGGTGGTCAGGACCCCCTCCGTCACCTCCTCCCATTCACCTACCAGCTCACCATCGCCCCCTGGGGGGAGTAGCCGCTCAGCAGTCAGGCCAGTGTGGCCGAGCCCCCAGAGAGCTGCTCAGAGGACGGGGGGAGCAGAGACATTGTGGGCCTGACAGAGGGAACAGCAGGAAGAGAGAAGAGAGGAGGGTCAGCTACTACTACTCTATAATGGAATATATTAGGAGAGGAGAGGAGAGGAGAGGAGAGGAGAGGAGAGGAGAGGAGAGGAGAGGAGAGGAGAGGAGAGGAGAGGAGAGGAGAGGAGAGGAGAGGAGAGGAGAGGAGAGGAGAGGAGAGGAGAGGAGAGGAGAGGAGAGGAGAGGAGAGGAGAGAAGAGGATAGGGTCAGCTACTACTACTACTACTACTACTACTACTACTACTACTACTACTACTACTACTACTACTACTACTACTACTCTATAACATTAGGAGAGGAGAGGGGAGAGAATACACTGTGTTATCAGTGAACAAAACCATTTCAGATCAACAACACACACAGGATAAACAACTAGCTACAGTACAGAGAACCACCGAGAACAATGAAACACTGAATCTATAAAGATAAAGGTCAACAAAAAGCTCTGGATGGATTTTTAGACAAAACAATCCATCAGATACATGTATGTTACATTCATGCTCTACAGGTTAGCACACCAAGAGCAACAAAAAACTAGGAGGGGTTTTCCTGGACACAGATGAAGCCTTAGACTAAAAATCACTTTCATATAGTCTGGATACAGTATCATTTAATATTCACAATGTCAAATCAGACATGAAATCTCCATATCAATTTATGTCACATCTACTCTGAGATACAAGCCCAAAATGACCTCAAAATACTATTCAAAACTATAGATGAGATTCATCTTTCAACCATGTCAGTGTTAACATCTACTATGAATACAATTTAAAAAGTGTTGTTTATATTATAGAAAAAGTAGTTGCTACATCTCAACAGAACAATGAGCTGACATGCAATACTGTATATCAAAATGTGCAACTGTATATCTTTTTAAATGTCACATTAAAATACTTTTATTGTCAAATAAACTAGGTTGTATGTGAACAATTCTCTCACTTCGGTGACTCTGCCCTTTAAAAATCTACCAATCTGTCCACAGTAATCTCTAAAATGATATAGTCTAAAATAAATGTATCTGGAGAAGATGATAACATCTCAAAACGTTGTTACATTTAGTTTAATTTTTCATTCTGGTGAAGTCTTCGTACAAAAACCTCCTTCACACAAGAGTGAGCACCTTCATGCCCACAACATTCTCAGTACCACCCTAATAGTACTGAAGTATTAGTATAATACAATAAGGACTGATAGTACTAAAATACTAGTATAATACAATAGGGACTGATAGTCCTGAAGGACTAGTGTAATACAATAGGGACTGATAGTACTGAAATACTAGTATAAGACAATAGGGACTGATAGTACTGATGTACTAGTATAATAGAATAGGGACTGAAAGTAGTGAAATACTAGAATAATACAATAGGGACTGATAGTCCTGAAGAACTAGTATAATACAATAGGGACAGGAAGTACTGAAGTACTAGTATAATACAATAGGGACTGATAGTACTGAAGTACAAGTATAATACAATAGCGACTGATAGTACTGAAGAACTAGTATAATACAATAGGGACTGATAGTCCTGAAGTACTAGTATAATACAATAGGGACTGAAAGTACTGAAGTACTAGTATAATACAATAGGGACTGATAGTACTGAAGTACAAGTATAATACAATAGCGACTGATAGTACTGCAGAACTAGTATAATACAATAGGGACTGATAGTACTGACGTACTAGTATAATACAATAGGGACTGATAGTACTGAAATACTTGTATAATACACTAGGGACTGATAGTACTGAAGTACTAGAATAATACAATAGGGACTGATAGTACTGAAGTACTAGTATAATACAATAGGGAATGTGTTCACACAGTGATACAGAGCCATACAAAAACCTCCCTAAGTCAGACTGCACAGTGACTGTACTGCTACAGCTGGGACCTACTGCAGGTGCTGAGGGGGAAGAGACAGTGACATGGAACACTGGTTAGTGAAGTCAACTTTTAATATGTTTAGATAGCATCATTCAGATCACATGTTCCCCATCATCATCATCATCATGCTTGTGAAAAATTGTTGTCATGGTCGGAAAGTGGACTTATAAAAGTTAAATGAAGTTTTAAAACACACAATACCTGTCCCTATGCAGAGTCAGATCTACAGAAGTAAAAAATAAATAAAGGTGGTGTTACATCAGCTTCAGCCTCCCTAAATCAAATCCCCATATGTACCTCACAACCAAATATTGATGTGATCATCTAGCATTATATTAACTGTTTTGATGATCAGGTTACTGACTGTTAGATCTGTGAATGAGACATGATGCTGGGCTCGAACATTAGACACATTTATGTAGAGACATACACTATACAGTATTATCATAAAGTATAATCTCAATTTTATCTGTCATTAATTACATGATGGCATATCTATTGTTTCTCCCTCCCTGAATCCACCATAGAGGTTAAAACCAGTCACTCCCTTACATCTGGCCCAGTCCAGGGTATTTCAGGCAGTGGAACTATTCAACTCTTAGACTGGTAGCTGTGGGAGTGAAACTGATATTTACATAGACAGGGCTGGGTGGTTCTGCTTGTCCCAGATTAGAGTAGCACTGTCAAAACTATCTTTATTTGAACTCAGAGGCAACAAGACATGCACAACTTAATCTCAAAATAGTTCATTTAGCATACAGCATTACTGATATTATTCACTATTATAATTGAACATCCAGCTCTAAAACACTAATGTTTCCTTCACTAGCACCATGTGGGGACTCTCTAGACTCCTACAATGGCTTCTAGACACTACAGTGACTTTTCCGGAAGGCGGCCAAATCACTGGTATCGTCATGGACGATCCTGCAGAAATATAAAACACTGAGCTAAATATATCAGTGATGCTGACAATATGTCAACTCATCCCCTCTCATGTCAAAGCATTCCTTAAGTGATAACACCCATAGGTTCAGACTACATAAATATTCCTTCCCTGTTGCTATGGCAAACAACCTTTTTTGTAACATGTCACACAATAAATTGAATGGACTCCATCTATGTGCAATAGTAATGTATCACATCATTTCAGAATAAATAACCCAGCTTCTGTAAAGTCCCTCAGTCAGGTAGTGAATTTAAAGCAAATATTAAACAATATTTATGGAGATTATATAACATGATTATAACCCCCTAAAATGTTCTGTGGTTCTGTCAAGGCAAAACATCTCTCCTGCCACACCTTTTCAGCACCTTCCCATTCTTTAATTGAACCCAGCTGAGGCTTGTTAACCAATTAAGACCATGATTGACTGGACAATGCTGCTGCTCACACAAACCTCTTCAACGAACGAAGGTTGTGAGAAGGTGACGGAAGCATGGAGAGGTCAGAGATAGCCTTGTAAAATGGGCTAAGGAACAGAAGTTGGGTTTTGGAGAAGTGCCATCAGTGCGTGCTCTGCAAGCAATGTAGCTGATGAAGGTGCGACAAGAGCGTAGTGAACGGATAGATGTGATTGTGGACAGCAAGGAAGAAGGTGAAGAGTTGAGTGTAGTGGGAAGATGTGTGTTGAGGAAGAATGGTGTCAGACATGATAAAGACGAATCTGGACCAATAGTAGTGACATTTTGGAGAAGGTGGACCCTTGCCTTTTGGCAGATCCATTTGTGGTTTTGTGGGTGAGAAAGGAGTTGGAGGTAGTTGAATCAGTGAAGGCAACCAGGATGAGAGGGAGAGGGCACTCCGTGTCACGTAACTTGGGTCAAGATCTGTTTCTTGCTTTGCTCTTAGGAACAGGGCACCATTGAAAGGGGTGAATTCTGGGGTAGCATTAAGTGTGGATGTAGCGATTGAAGTTGAAAATGTCTGGTGTTTGTGACGCCCGCCGTTTGGTATTCCTTAAAGAGGTAGGGTTTCAAGTGTCTCCGGAAGGTGGTCAGTGACTCCGCTGTCCTGGCAAAAACCTTTCCAAGAAAGACCTCTACTGTTAATCTGTTAACATTGTTGTATCTAGACCTCTCCTGTTAATCTGTTAACATTGTAGTATTTAGACCTCTCCTGTTACCTCTCCTGTTAATCTGTTAACATTGCAGTATCTTGTGTTACTATGACCTACAGTTTAATGACAATGTGTTTTTAAGTAAATAACGATAGTTACCGGAGTGTAACTCCAGTTCTACGAGTGGAGCGGAGCCCCATAGGGGAGCTCTGCTCCTTTTGGTTTACCCACTGCCCTAAGGCAGCAACAGCCTGAGACAACATGATGCACACACCTGCAGCCAATAGGAGTACAGGTGTCCCTATAAGAGGGGACGCTTCCCCTCAATCAGCCTCCTGAGATATTTATCTTCATCGAGACTAGAGAGGGTCGGCAGGGCCTTAAGTCCTATGGGGCTCCGCTCCACTCATAGAACTGGAGTTACACTCCGGTAACTATCGTTCTATATCGTGGAGATCCGCCCCATTGGGGAGCTCTGCTCCTATTGGTTTAAGGCGGAGCGCAACGCTCCAAAATATACTCCCTGCCGAGCCCAACACTTCCCATCGAAATGAAAAGGTCAGGCCTAGCAATGGCTGCGACCAAGTCCCGCAGTACTGTAACCACTGTATCACAATACATGGTGTCACAATACAGTGGGGGAAAAAAGTATTTAGTCAGCCACCAATTGTGCAAGTTCTCCCACTTAAAAAGATGAGAGGGGCCTGTAATTTTCATCATAGGTACACGTCAACTATGACAGACAAAATGAGAATATTTTTTCCAGAAAGTCACATTGTAGGATTTTTAATGAATTTATTTGCAAATTATGGTGGAAAATAAGTATTTGGTCAATAACAAAACTTTTTCAATAATTTGTTATATACCCTTTGTTGGCAATGACACAGGTCAAACGTTTTCTGTAAGTCTTCACAAGGTTTTCACACACTGTTGCTGGTATTTTGGCCCATTCCTCCATGCAGATCTCCTCTAGAGCAGTGATGTTTTGGGGCTGTCGCTGGGCAACACGGACTTTCAACTCCCTCCAAAGATTTCTATGGGGTTGAGATCTGGAGACTGGCTAGGCCACTCCAGGACCTTGAAATGCTTCTTACGAAGCCACTCCTTCGTTGCCCGGGCAGTGTGTTTGGGATCATTGTCATGCTGAAAGACCCAGCCACGTTTCATCTTCAATGCCCTTGCTGATGGAAGGATGTTTTCACTCAAAATCTCACGATACATGGCCCCATTCATTCTTTCCTTTACACGGATCAGTCGTCCTCGTCCCTTTGCAGAAAAACAGCCCCAAAGCATGATGTTTCCACCCCCATGCTTCACAGTAGGTATGGTGTTCTTTGGATGCAACTCAGCATTCTTTGTCCTCCAAACACGACGAGTTTAGTTTTTACCAAAAAATTATATTTTGGTTTCATCTGACCATATGACATTCTCCCAATCCTCTTCTGGATGATCCAAATGCACTCTAGCAAACTTCAGACGGGCCTGGACATGTACTGGCTTAAGCAGGGGGACACATCTTGTACTGCAGGATTTGAGTCCCTGGCGGCGTAGTGTGTTACTGATGGTAGGCTTTGTTACTTTGGTCCCAGCTCTCTGCAGGTCATTCACTAGGTCCCCCCGTGAGGTTCTGGGATTTTTGCTCACCGTTCTTGTGATCATTTTGAGCCCACGGGGTGAGGGGGATTATCAGTGGTCTTGTATGTCTTCCATTTCCTAATAATTGCTCCCACAGTTGATTTCTTCAAACCAAGCTGCTTACCTATTGCAGATTCAGTCTTCACAGTCTGGTGCAGGTCTACAATTGTGTTTCTGGTGTCCTTTGACAGCTCTTTGGTCTTGGCCATAGTGGAGTTTGGAGTGTGACTGTTTGAGGTTGTGGACAGGTGTCTTTTATACTGATAACAAGTTCAAACAGGTGCCATTAATACAGGTAACGAGTGGAGGACAGAGGAGCCTCTTAAAGAAGAAGATACAGGTCTGTGAGAGCCAGAAATCTTGCTTGTTTGTAGGTGACCAAATACTTATTTTCCACCATAATTTGCAAATAAATTCATAAAAAATCCTACAATGTGATTTTCTGGATTTTTTTCTTCTCATTTTGTCTGTCATAGTTGACGTGTACCTATGATGAAAATTACAGGCCTCTCTCATCTTTTTAAGTGGGAGAACTTGCACAATTGGTGGCTGACTAAATACTTTTTTTCCCCACTGTATACTGCGTCATCGGTCCAAATCCGCCCCACCTAGTCCAATGGCAACACCAATGTCTAGCGGGCAGATCACCAGAATACGGGCCATACTAATCTGTACTAGCAGATAGATGGTACCTCAATACCCTGTTACAACAATACCGACCACTAATTGGATGACACAAAGTGTCACTCTACATTGTGTACACGGTAGCCCGCCCCATTCAATCAATAGGGCCACTCTACTATAAACGCCTGATTGGTGGAGTGCTGCAGATATGGTTGTCCTTCTGGAAGGTACTCCCATCTCCACAGAGGAACTCTTGAGCCGCCTTGCAGTAGAGCCTGCTCTACTAGGGGCGGTAGGGTTCGATAGTCTCTGCGTCACGTGGCCTGCTCTCCCTGCCAATGGCAAGTGTCTGGCCAGCTGTTTCCTCTCCTCATCTAGCTTGGAAAAACGCTCCGTCGCTTCTTTAACAGCTACTCCGAAGAATCCGTCGTTAGAGAAGGGGGCGTTCAAGAGCGACGCTCTATCGGCTTCCTTCATAGTCGTCAATGACAACCATAGTTGTCGTTCCACAGCCACCGAAGTGGCCATGAACAGACAGCCGACGCTTGCGTCAGGTGGAGAATAGCGCCAGAAATCACTTCCTCCCTGCCGAGCTCAGTCTTACCCGTCGTTAGACGGGACAGAGAGGCCGCTAGGAGGGCAATGTTTTTGGCTGCTGCTACAGCCTGGGCTCCCAACGTAAAATACTTCTCTACCAGCCGTGCTGTGAGTCGGTCCTTTTGCATAGGCAGAGTGGCCTTCTTGGAAGAGGGCCAGGGACTCGAACCCGGCACGAGATACGCCGCTAGGGTGCTCTCCAGCCTGGGGATTCCCTCTGTGAGGCCCTGTTGCCTTCCCTCCACTCTGGTAAATGGGAGATACGCCTTGGCTGGCGAACGCACCTCCATAGGCGCCTCCCATGAGCCCTCCGCGTATTTAGCCAATGAGGGCATTGCTGGAGCCAGAGGCTCAGCAGCCCTTCATGATCTGGAATACGGGCCGCCCTCCATCATATCCACTTCCGGTACGGTGGGAATGGGGGGCAGTGCTATTTCTAGCCGTCTAGCAGCCCTCTCAATGAGCCCAGGGAAGTCTGAGCGCAGAGAGGCCGCTGCGAAAGACAGGGCTTCTGACCTCTCAGAGCCTGTGTCTTCATCGCCCAGGGAAGAATAAGACCTCTCACTCTCCAAAGGAAAGGGGGTCTTAAAAGTCTGGGTCTTGAGACTGGACTGTTCCATAGGAACGTCCATCTCGTCCCCATCATCCCCAGAGTCAGCCTCTCCAGATGACGCCTCAGAAGCTGAGGCCAAAACTGAGAGCACGTCCTGTAGGGGAATATCCTCCCTAAAAAATGCACGCTGCTGCTTCCTCTCCTTCAAAGAAAGGAGGGCGCAGCTGGCGCATTTAGGGGGAACGCTGACGCCATCCTTGGCGTGCTGTGCACCCAAACACACAAAACATAGGTTGTGGGGGTCCGCAGCTGTCAAGGAGGCACAGCGGCATTGAGCTCTGAAAATAGCTTTTGGGGGTGGAAAATCTCCTAGTGTGCTCATTTAGGACGACGTCGATGAACTGGAAAATCGACTGCATTTCTTTGTCCTGAGTCTTCTCTTCATCTCTTCTTGGCTTCTTCAGTCTAGTTCAGTCGCTGAAGATAAAGGGAGGCTGATTGAGGGGAAGCATCCCCTTTTATAGGGACACCTGTACTCCTATTGGCTGCAGGTGTGTGCATAATTATGTCTCAGGCTGTTGCTGCCTTAGGGCAGTGGGTAAACCAATAGGAGCAGAGCTCCCCTATGGGGCGGAGCTCCACGATATAGAACTAAGCTATGACATTTAGGTCTGATCATTTTCAAAGAAACTGTGAATCAGGCTTTACAAATATATTTCTATATCATTCAACATTTGACTAAAGTCTAATTATTGAAAGAGACAACGAAAATATTTGTTCCAAAGGAAAATGTTTATTTTCATCTATTAATCAAAGCATCAAAGCAAACATTCCTACAGTATCTAATATATAAAAAAACAGAGCACATCAAATCTAACACTGATAAAACCTCAGTCTACAGAGAGGATTGACACATGAACTCAAGCAAAGCCCCCTGTTAGTCTACATGTCAGTGATCAATAAGACAGAGAACATCTGATCTCAGAACAGAGCCAAAGAAGAGGAACCAACAGCCTCTCTCCACAGGGGTGTGTGACTGAGGGGTCCTACCCAGAACAGTCAGCCCTCCTCAGGGTCTTGGTGACTGGAGTCTGGGATTTCTGCTGGGCGTCACAGGTCACCTCTCCTGCATTGGTCCACTCCTGGGCAGTGAGAGTCAGGGTGCTGCTCCAGCTATACAGGCCGTCTTTCTCCAGGACTGCGGGACTGGCCTCCTGCTTCTTGCTGGTCCCGTCCACTTTCCAGCTTATGGTCCAGTCTGAGGGGAAGCCCTTGTTGGCCAGACACGTCAGTGTGACTGTTGTTGTACTGGACAGCTCCTCACTAGAGGGGGCCAGGACGGTGAGGGTGGGGACACTGTTACCTGGAACAAACAGAACACATCAACTAAGTAACTACATCAAGTACAGCAACAGTAAAAAAAAATATTCAGCAAAGACACATCAAAATAATGTGAAGTGGAAATGCCCTGTAAATATGAATGTAGAAGTTAGATAGTTTAAAAGATGTGGAGAAAACACTAAAGTAATATGATACAAAGCAGATTTATGAACCAAACAAGTATAAAGTGGTTAAATAACTAGAGTTACTAGTCATACAGTGTCAGTTATACATGTCATACAGATATAGTTTAGGAATGGATCTGATCAGAATAGCCTACTCATATTCATAGTATTTTCATCACATATCAGCCTTGTTAGATCATGAAGTCTGTTACAAACATAACTGAGACCCTTTGTCTTCACACTAACAGTGAAGTCTACCATGAACACAATTCAACAATGATGAATACTATATACAATACTATTAAATAGTTATTATATCAGAATTAGGAAATATACAAATCAGACATACAAATAATCCTACAATTTATCATTTTGATTCCATAAATATCTATTTGAAAGAAGGCTCATTCAAAAGCTCAATTTAACCAAAAATATTTGAGAGTTAAAGATCAACAATCCCACGCAAACAATAATACATAATGCCACATCTATATTCAATATTATTAAGTAGTTATCATTCTAGAATTATACTCTGCAATCCATCAAACCAGACATATACATAAACACCTACATTTTAACATTTTGGTTCAATAAAATGTTATTTGAAAGAAGGCTTCGTCAAAAATAATAGAAATAACTATATTTTTTAGAAAGTAAAATATGTAAAATCGCGTAGACAGAGTTTAAGAAAGTGAAATACCAAAAACAATTAGCTAAAATTAATATCAAAAGAGCTTGTTACTTACTTCCAACATCAAGTCTGGTGCCGCTACCAAAAGTGGCCCACAGTGATACAATCCCTATTACTGCTCGTACAAAAACCTCCCGCACATGTGGCAAGCTGAATTTCTTTAGACTGTGGTTCAAATAATTAACTCTACTACGGTATGAATATTGTTAAGAAAATATTTCATCTACTCAATTTGAAATAAAGTGTTTTTTATTTAGTTTTCCTTAACATTGAGCAAAACCTACTTTTCTTGTACATTTCCTACTAGGTGCAGTATGTTTATTCATACAACCAATCTAAAATGTAGGCTAATCACTTCCATCTTTCAAAAATGCAGGTCAAATTTGATTAGGTGTAATTTCATTCATATTCAAATTGGCCATAGTATGTGTAGGCCTTGTGTATAATTTACTATTGAGGCTCAATTAATAGAGATATTGACTCACAACATCAAATGGTAAATAAAATGATTAATTTTGTGTTAACTTACTTCCAACATCAAGCCTGGTGCCGCTACCAAAAGTCCACCACAGTGATACAATCCCTATTACTGCTTATACAAAAACCTCTCTGTGTTGTGATGCTGCAGCTGTTACAGTGAAGATCACTCATACTGAATCATCATCAACACAAATACACTTTAACATCTTCCAGGTAGAACAAACACTTCATATAAGCTGTTTCTAGATAATACAAATATGAATTGTATCTTGAATCCAGATATGAGTATTTTTTCCTCTTCTGTGTATCAGGTGTTCTCCTAGTCTGTAGGTACAGTCCAGCATTAGATCCAGTGTTGCTAGTATTCCTCCATATTGTCCATATGAAAGACAACAGCAGCAGCAGTAGTGATAGTGATCCATGTTGTATATTCCTTTATTAAAGATGTTGATCTCAGATTTAACTGTGGTGGTAAAGTCACAGAGGACAGACAACACTACCAGAGGAATCCTACCAGCTTTAGTTTAGAGAAGTGTTCACTAACTGATTAGAGGAACTTACATGAGAGACCAAGCATGAGTGAACAAACTGTTCATTATATAAAAATATAATGCTGGTGTGACATAAAATGTGCCATACGTTAGTGATCTGTGTTAACCGTTTCTGTTTGATGTTATGAATGCTAGCTCATACAGGACAAAATACATTTGAATGATGGGAGCTTACTTGGAAACATCTGACCTGCTGCTCTAAGAGTGTTTATAGCCACGTGAGTTTAACACTGTCACTCCCTGGCTCTGGGGACTCTATATGTTGAGCCAGGGTGTGTAGTTTCTATGTGTTTTGTTCTATGTTCACAGTCTAGTTCTTGTATTTCTATGTTGGCCAGAGTGGTTCCCAATCAGAGGCAACGAGTGTCAGCTGTTGCTGGTTGTCTCTGATTGGGAGCCATATTTAAACAGTCTGTTTTCCTTAGTGTTTGTGGGATCTTGTTCCTTTTGGTGTGTTCCGTGTTTGTTGTGTTGAACATAGGACGTCACGTTATCGTTTGTTGTTTTGTTGCTCGTGCATTCATTAAATAAAGAAGTATGTTCGTTCATCACGCTGCGCCTTGGTCTACTCAGTTCAACGATCGAGACAGAAGATCCCACCATACCAGGACCAAGCAGCGTGTCCAGGAGCAGGCAGCCTGGACATGGGAGGAAGCGCCGGGAAAGGAGCTGGAGAGGTTGGCGATGGCCCAGGTGGGCAAAGTGTGGTCCTGGGAGGACATGCTCGGGGGAAAAGGGCCATGGGCTAGATTAAGGCCCTGGCGAGAGAGGAGCAACGGCGTCAACAGTGTCGTCGTCGGACGGACGAGAGGCAACCCAAAACATTTTTTAGGGGGGGGCACACGGCATGGGCGACTGGGCAGCAGGAGGCTGCCACAGGGCGAATTGGGAGGTTGGCAGAGGAGGCCGCCAGGTTACGGGGGCCACTGGTCAAAGGGGGGAAGGAAGGTGTAGAGGCACGGCGAGAGGTACTGGGGTGTGTTACCAGTCCGGTCCGGCCCGTTCCAGATCCCTGCGTAGGGCCAGTGGTGTGTGTCCCCAGTACGGTCCGGTCTGTTCCTGCTCCCCGCACCAAGGTAATGGTGTGGGTCGCCAGCCCGGCCCGGCCTGTTCCTGCTCCTCGCACCAAGCCTACGGTACGCGTCGCCAGCCCGGCTCGGCCTGTTCATGCTCCTCGCACCAAGCCTACGGTGCGCGTCGCCAGCCCGGCTCGGCCTGTTCCTGCTCCTCGCACCAAGCCTACGGTGCGCGTCGCCAGCCCAGCCCGGCCTGTTCCTGCTCCCCGCACCAAGCCTACGGTGCGCGTCGCCAGCCCAGCCCGGCCTGTTCCTGCTCCCCGCACCAAGCTAACGGTGCGCGTCGCCAGCCCGGCCTGTTCCTGCCACTCGCACCAAGCCTACGGTGCACGTCGCCAGCCCGGCCCGGCCTGTTCCTGCCACTCGCACCAAGCCTACGGTGCGCGTCGCCGGCCCGGCCCGGCCTGTTCCTGCCACTCGCACCAAGCCTACCGTGCGCGTCGCCAGCCCGGCCCGGCCTGTTCCTGCCACTCGCACCAAGCCTACAGTGCGCGTCGCCAGCCCGGCCCGGCGTGTTCCTGCCACTCGCACCAAGCCTACGGTGCGCGTCGCCAGCCCGGCCCGGCCTGTTCCTGCCACTCGCACCAAGCCTACGGTGCGCGTCGCCAGCCCGGCCCGGCCTGTTCCTGCCACTCGCACCAAGCCTACGGTGCGCGTCGCCCGCCCGGCCCGGCCTGTTCCTGCTCCACGCACCAAGCCAGGGGTGCGAGTCGTCAGCCCGGTCCGGCCCGTTCCTGCTCCACGCACCAAGCCAGGGGTGCGAGTCGTCAGCCCGGTCCGGCCCGTTCCTGCTCCACGCACCAAGCCAGGGGTGCGCGTCGTCAGCCCGGTCCGGCCCGTTCCTGCTCCACGCACCAAGCCAGGGGTGTGCGTCGTCAGCCCGGTCCGGCCCGTTCCTGCTCCATGCACCAAGCCAGGGGTGCGAGTCATCAGCCCGGTCCGGCCCGTTCCTGCTCCACGCACCAAGCCAGGGGTGCGCGTCGTCAGCCCGGTCCGGCCCGTTCCTGCTCCACGCACCAAGCCAGGGGTGTGCGTCGTCAGCCCGGTCCGGCCCGTTCCTGCTCCATGCACCAAGCCAGGGGTGCGAGTCATCAGCCCGGTCCGGCCCGTTCCTGCTCCACGCACCAAGCCAGGGGTGCGCATCGTCAGCCCGGTACGGCCCGTTCCGGCTCCACGCACCAAGCCAGGGGTGCGCATCGTCAGCCCGGTCCGGCCCGTTCCTGCTCCACGCACCAAGCCAGGGGTGCGCATCGTCAGCCCGGTCCGGCCCGTAGCTGCTCCACGCACCAAGCCAGGGGTGCGCATCGTCAGCCCGGTCCGGCCCGTTCCTGCTCCACGCACCAAGCCAGGGGTGCGCATTGTCAGCCCGGTCCGGCCCGTTGCTGCTCCACGCACCAAGCCAGGCGTGCGCGTCGTCAGTCCGGCACAACCCGTGCCTGGGTCACCGGTGCCTGGTCAGGTACCGGTCAGCTGCTCCACACCGGAGCTGAAGCAATCCGCTCCTACGATGTCCAGTCTAGCTCCAGCCAGCGGGGCCAGACCGGACCAGGGGCGCTACGGGGGGATTATTGGAAGGTGGTGGGCAAGCCCGGAGCCGGAACTGCCTCCGAGAAGGAATGCCCACCCAGCCCTCCCCTGTTTGGTTTATGTGGAGGCGCGGTCGCAGTCCGCGCCTTTGGGGGGGGGGGGGGGGTACTGTCACACCCTGGCTCTGGGGACTCTATATGTTGAGCCAGGGTGTGTAGTTTCTATGTGTTTTGTTCTATGTTCACAGTCTAGTTCTTGTATTTCTATGTTGGCCAGAGTGGTTCCCAATCAGAGGCAACGAGTGTCAGCTGTTGCTGGTTGTCTCTGATTGGGAGCCATATTTAAACAGTCTGTTTTCCCTTAGTATTTGTGGGATCTTGTTCCTTTTGGTGTGTTCCGTGTTTGTTGTGTTGAACATAGGACGTCACGTTATCGTTTGTTGTTTTGTTGCTCGTGCATTCATTAAATAAAGAAGTATGTTCGTTCATCACGCTGCGCCTTGGTCTACTCAGTTCAACGATCGTGACAAACACTTCATGACTGAGAGCTGTCCTTCATGACAACAGAACCCACAAAAACCATAACTTTTGTCACCATCTTCATCTGGACACTTGCTTTCCGTTTTCAAGGTTAACATTTTTAGAAATTATTGTTGAAAATGAATTAAATCTATACCATCGACGTGTATATCAATGTTATTATTTATATTCAGAATGATTCATTGCCATATGTAAAATGTAATTTATTTTTACTATGGAAAATATGGGAAACCAGGCCTGCTATTCATAGCAGACTTCGAAAAGGCATTTGATAAAGTACGATTGGGGTTTATATATAAATGCCTGGAGCATTTCAATTTTGGAGAATCTCTTATAAAATGGGTCAAAATCATGTATAGTAACCCTAGGTGTAAAATAGTAAATAATGGCTATTTCTCAGAAAGTTTTAAACTGTCAAGAGGAGTGAAACAAGGTTGTCCACTATCGGCATATCTATTTATTGTGGCCATCGAGATGTTAGCTATTAAAATCAGATCCAATAATAATATCAGAGGATTAGAAATCCAGGGCTTAAAAACAAAGGTGTCATTGTACGCTGATGATTCATGTTTTCTTTTAAATCCACAACTAGAATCCCTCCACAGCCTCATAGAGGATCTAGATACATTTTCTAATCTCTCTGGATTACAACCAAATTATGACAAATGTACTACACTGCTCAAAAAAATTAAGGGAACACTTAAACAACACAATGTAACTCCAAGTCAATCACACTTCTGTGAAATCAAACTGTCCACTTAGGAAGCAACACTGATTGACAATAAATGTCACATGCTGTTGTGCAAATGGAATAGACAACAGGTGGAAATTATAGGCAATTAACAAGACACCCCCAATAAAGGACTGGTTTTGCAGGTGGTGACCACAGACCACTTCTCAGTTCCTATGCTTCCTAGCTGATGTTTTGGTCACTTTTGAATGCTGGCGGTGCTTTCAGTGCAGCTCATCCAGGATGGCACATCAATGCGAG